CCATACGGAACACATAAATACACTATGTGGGCAGAATGCAGTATATATAAATTCAGTCCGTACCTCACAGGAAACACATTACGTCTCAGCTACTAAGCCCAACCGGTTAATGCTGTTTAGGGAAATAATCGCTGTTTACTGTGAGAACCATACGGAACTCACAAATACACTGTGTGGGCAGAATGCAGTATATATAAATTCAGTCCGTACCTCACAGGAAACACATTACGTCTCCGCTACAAAGCTCAACCGGTTAATGCTGTTTAAGGAAATAATCGCTGTTTATTATGAGAACCACACGGAGGACATAAACACACTGTGTGGGAAAATATGCTCTTACGGGTTATTATTATTTTTTTCTTTACGAACCCTTGAACCCAGACCCAGAAATATGCTGGATTATTTGTTATTGTATTTGAGTTAAACCCAAAAATCTTAATGAAATTCCAACACGGTTACACGATATGACGCAACACAAGAGCATTTACGTGCTGGTGTATTTTAAAATTTGTAATATTTTCTTCCGCAACTATTCTGGGGCTTGAAGCATGTTTCAAAAATAAAAAAGGGCTTAGATCTAGATTCGATGAGGCGTAACAATCCACATCACGTGCTTCAAGAAGCCGTGATGATTTCATCAAGCCAAATGAAGCAGATGTAACTGAAACGTACTGAACTGCTCTGATGTAACGAGGTGGCTTCAGGGCGGCAGGGACGAGCCCTATATGGAAATGTGGAAATGCGGCACTAGACTGCATAAACATGTGGAAACTGGCGGCATGTGCAGGTTTGCATCAATAAATAAGTTTACAGATTCCAGCGGCATACTTTAAGTGTATGTTATTCACCTGTTGGCTGTTAAAAGAACTCTTATACTTTGCCCACAAAATATATTTTTTTAGACGTAATGATCGAGTTTATATAAATGAATTCCCGGCAGAATACTCACATTTTTCACGTGATCGAGTAACAATAGGCGGAAAGCGGCCTCCATAGTCTAGAGGTAACGTTCCCACCTCATGACTCGTGGTACGCGGGTTCAAATACCCGGCGGAGGTCGTCGAATTTTTAAGGGCGGAAAAATTCAGGGAACAAGTCATCCGGGAGGGACTTTAAGCTGTGTGTCCCGTGTCGTAACTTTACGGCACGTAAAAGAACCTCATATCCCCAATGGGGATCACTGAGCCAAATTCCAGGACGTTTCCCGCCCAACAATAGTCTCTAAGGCCTCTGATAGATGGGGGAAGCATTATAGACACCGCTAAGCAAGTGGCCGTACTCGCTTGCTCGGCGGGATTGATGGTACGCACCATTTATCGGTAGGGTATAGAGACTGGTAGCATATCATAGAGGGAAGCACAATAGATCAAACTGGTCGCGGTGCACGGGGAACCCACCCTCTCTAAATAACTAACTAACTAACTATAGACGGAGTTTTGATTGGTATCAGATTTATTGAACTTTTTAACATACAGCTCATGAGTACACTTAACAAATCACTGTCACACACAGACTATTGCTATCAGTTACGATCTACACTTTGCTGCTTGGTAGCGGCTTCCAACTGTGTACGTTCCTCTGTTTCCAGGCTCACGTCCTCGCAGGCTGGCGGCCGTCTCACACAAACCTCCTCCTCTTCTAACTTCTGTCCCAAGGCTCTCCCTTAAGTCCAAGTCACATTGCGACTGACGGTCAGTCAGTCATTAGGTCTTGGTCTCGAGCCCAATTTGGGGCTCATGACAAGATATTTATTACTGTTTGACAGTTACGGTATTGTTTCTGTGGTATGCCCTCTCTGACGAGAGGACGGGTCTGTCTTTTGTATATGCTGCTGGCTCTTGCCAGCGCAGTCTTTCTCGGGTCCATTTCTCTCAAAACTCTCGACATTATTTTACTCTCTGAGATTTGAGATTTCCCTTTTCGTCGCCTCCTACGACTCGCAGGATCACGGTGTGGGTATTCGACCCCTTCTCCACAACGGGTTTCTCCTATAATGGCAGCTGGTGCTAGTTATATAGCCTCGACACGGACCGCACAGAAAACACCGCTTCCAATACTTACTCCACTTTGCGTATTGCACAGCTGTTACCTAGCAGTGGCTATTTATATGGCTTTGCAGTTCTTGATTTTAGCAAATATGCCAGAATATGTATATATACATTTATATATGGGGCACGCGATAGCGCATTTGGTTGAGGCACTATGCTACAAGCCGAGAGATCGCGGCTTCGTGTCTCGATGAAGTGGATTTTTTCAATTTACTTAATCCTTCCAGCCCCGCTATGGCCATGGGATCGACTAAGCCTCTAACAGAAATGAGTACTATGAATCTTCCTGGGTGCAAAGGCCGGCCAGCCCGTAAAGTTGACAACCTAACCACCATCTGTGAGCCGATTGTCTAGAAAACGTGGGAGCCTCGACGTCTCATTATCCCATGGGCCTCCATGGCCTGTTACATAGATAGCTTTACCTTTACTTTTATACATATATGTACAGAGCTATATCTGTTATTTAATTATTGTTACCTTATTCGCCACGAATATATTATTACTTAAGTACACATTCTGTGTACAATTAAATTTGCCGGATATAATTTCAAAGATCTGCACCGTCTCAATGTCTGTTATTACTAACTTACAGATGCAACGTACACATTGTTTAGGTGTATGTACATATAATTTTTCCGCTGTGCCTAATTCCACAGCTCCTGTATTTCATTAGTAATGACCATCAAACCAAAACAGAAATGATTTTTTTTTTCATACGATCGCTATGTATGTATATTGTCACGTGTTGGGTTGGTCACGCGACAAATAACTTCACGCCGTCTTGGATGTAGCGAATTTATTGAACACTCGCTCTTACATTTACACAATTCACGCTTTCACAATTACTGCCATCTGCAATATCACAGTTACTTCTACTGCTTCCATTCATTCCGGCGAATAGACTGCAACTGACTGGTTGCTCTCTCTCTAGTAACTGGCTCAATACTCACTACCCACTACTCTAGTAACTTCTGCACTGACAACACAGAAAAGAGTTACGCGATAGCTACCACTGTTGCGTAACGTCGTGTTTACAGGCGTTGCTGGGGAACGCTACCGAGAGTTGTTTATTGCTGCGTAGTAACCGCGGTGTCTCCTGTTACGTCACTGCGGAAAGTGCTGTTACGTCACCGCGGGGGAGGGGGACGGAGTGTTGGCCGGCCTGTTACCGTAGCAGCGGCAGTTGCTCCGATGCTGTTACGTCACCGATGGAGGGGGTGTTTACCGAGCGTTGCGCCGTTCACGTCACAATATCATATTCTACAAAAAATACCGCGTGGAAACTTGAATATTTGTCGAAGATCAATCAACATACATTATATCCGGTTCATAAATAACTGACGGTGATGTCGTTTCCACCTCAGAAATTCGCTTGTGCACCACTTTGATAATGCTGATTGTAGGAAATTATAAAAAGAATTATGACATTGGTTGATCAACTTGTTCAAAACATAAGCCTTTGCTTTAAAAATAAAATTGGGATAAAAGTCTGTAGTTCGATATCGCCAATCTGCCTAAAGCATTTCCACGTCCAACAAAATACACTGTGCTGTGTTCTCTGTGGGGTTCGTTCTCATTAGCTTTTTATGAAGTTCTTGATTTTGCTGCACACACAAATTGGAATTCCACTATTTGGCAACCCTTCCATCAGCCCCTTGCTTGTGTACACACAGGATAAATGCAGAACTTCTAGCGCTCTACGTTTGATGCATATCAACTTTATTTGCTCGTCTTTGAAGCCACTCCATCTTTCCAACACGTCTCTGTCTTGACCAGTAGTTTGCTACCAGCGAACTTAATTTAAATTCGCGGCCCTCTGTTCTAGTGATTTTCGCTGCTAGAAGCTTTGCTACTGGGGAGGTGAAACAGCCCATACCACGTCACATTTTGCTGATTTCTTTTTTCCGACGAAATTTAATCTTAATCTATGGAATTAACCACCACCAATATCGCGTTACAGTCTAATCAATTTTTAAGATGGCATGGATCAACTAATTAAATTGAAAAGAGAATTTTGACGATAAAATATTTACTTAGTAACCCCAAATTTTCCCAACATTTTGTGGAACCCGAAAGTTCACAACCGTGTTCACAAGAGACTGCCACTAGACACTATCCTCGGCCAGATGAATCCACTCCAGGAATTCCCACTCTATTTCTTTAATTTCCATTTTTTGCCAATTTTCCTTATTTTGAAAAAATAAAAGGAGGCTTATGAGATCACATTGCAGTCTGTCTCCATGTATATCCCCTCCCCCACAATTTTTTATAGTAAGCTTATGAGAACATCCTGCTCTGTGTTCCTCCTTAATTCTTTGGATTTCATATGCGGTCCGTGTCGTATGAAAGGAAATTAGGCGACTATTTCTTGCCAGAATTTCATGTAATGTTATGCTAGTCTTCAAAGAGACCATTTCTTTAAATGTTTTCCATCCATATCTTTGTATGAATGTTCTGTCCTTTGCTTGCTAAATGTCCCGCCCATCTCATCCACCTAAGAATATTCGGCGACTACAAATTATATGAAACTACTCAACTACAACATCTATCATTCGAAATATGCTTCAGCCCTTTGTATGCGATAAGGGTTGGCTTGTCTGAGAGCACACATACGTAGATCATAGACAAGCATCTGTTCGTTTTTATCACTGTAGTCCTTGCCTTCACATGGCACAGCACACTGTTCCATATATCGACAGACGGACGGAATGGTTTGGGGGCTGATTCTCTCCCCCGGAGACTTCATATTGCCCTGGAGAGAAAATGTAAAAGGGTAGAAAGATGAGAGAAACTGAATAAAATTTACACACACATATATAAAAAAGGAAGGGTGTATGTATATGTGTGGGGGCGGAGTGTTTCCTCTTTGCTCCGTTACGATGCGCAGTGGCTACTTTGTTATAAAGCGATGTTTCTGAGTGATTTCGAAATTTAGAAATTTGCTGGACTGCGGTCAGGATTGACGCATTTCCGGTTGGTTCGACTCAAATAGTTCGAGCATGACCCACAGGTGAGAGCCGCATAAGCGGTAATTGTGCACGCTTTTAATCTTTTGTTAGTTGAGGTGAGTGCTAATATACAGCATGTATAAACTGTGACAGTGGGACGGAAAATATAAAGTTTTGTTACACTTAAGATCCGCTTTGTTGGGGAGACAGGCTCAACTAAATTCGGTGCTATAATTCGTGCCGAGGAGTCGAAATACGAAGCAAATATTGCCCATTTCGAACTTGAAGTTCATCTAAGTAATATATAAGAATTCAATCCGTACCTCACAGGAAATGCATTATGTCTCCGCTAAAAAGACCAACCGGTTAATGCTATTTAGGGAAATAATAGCTGTTTATTGTGAGAACCATACGGAACACATAAATACACTGCGTGGGCAGAATGCAGTATATATAAATTCAGTTCGTACCTCACAGGAAACACGTTACGTCTCCGCTACAAAGACCAACCCGTTAATGCTGTTTAGGGAAATAATCGCTGTTTATTGTGAGAATCATACGGAACACATGAACACACTGTGTGGAGAAAATTTATATATTTTTAGTGTTAAAGCATGTGGTACATATAGTTACCACTTTGCTGTAAAGGTTTAGTGGATAAATCCCATTTAATAAGAATCCATGTAGATGCATTTAGTACATTTACTACATAAGTAATAACGGCAGTTACGTGTGTTTATTATGGCCAACACCATCGGTTGTTACTGGCCATAGCAACAGCCCACTGGAGTACCGAGAAAATGCCTAAATGTAAAGCGTTATGCATTGTATATCTGTAATATCTACATGTAGATGTGTATGTGTGTGTCTTTGTTATTCTTCGTAGATTTCTCTGCGCCATTGGACCTTGTTTCGATCAAATTTGACATGATATAAGAGAACCTCTCTGGGGTAGAGGCTTTTAGACAGGTGAGACTCCCCAGAATTTTGGAACACCTTGAAAAACAGTTATTTTACTTAACGTACAATAACCAATCATCCTACACTACTGAACATGCCTTTGTCATTTTTTTGCCCTGCTTACTGTATATGTCTACATGTAATTGTATTTTACATATATAATTTTCAACTTCCCAAAAAATAATAGAAAATTTTTAAAAATTGTCAAAATATCCCACGTTTTACACTATACTGAATTAGTTAATTTACTTAAATGCTATTATTATATGTTAATATCATCAAAATCAACATTGTAACTTTTCAGTTTGTTAACACTTTCTAATCATACATGTGCTTTACGTACTGGCAATTCCGAGTGTATTGGTCAGTTTCGTCTCTCAAATTTTCTATTTTCTTCTGCGTTTAGAGCTTTGTTACTGAGTACCATGAAACGACTTTTATGCATTCTTTGCACGATCTGCACAAAATGAGTACATACATGTCTGGTCGTGTCTGCCTGTCCTCATGTTTCAACTTGAGAACTGTTGGACCGATTTTGTTAAAATTTGATATGGGCATTATGCTATTAGAGGCTACTCCAAAACTTGCCTATCTTAATTTCCTGTATCCAGTAATAGTCAGCATGACGGACACACGAACTTTAGAGCCATGGTAAGAAATCTGCGAAAAATATGCTACTTTGTTGAGTTTCCTTTTAATGCGAGGCAACGAAAATTTGTTTGCATTAAAATCTGTACATGATATGTATGTATTGGCCGTCTTGTAGTGCACTCAATCTCACATGTCGCAGCCAAAAAGCAGGACACATCACAAGACACAGTATACACAAAATATAGGAAAAACGACTCCCATAGTGGAAGAATCATACAATACGCGAGTTTGAATTAAGAAGTTTAAGATGATAAATCTTAACAAGTTTTAGTGTATACAAATTTTATTATAGTTGATGAAGAATGTACATTTTAAATAATTTTATGAACAACACATGATGGCGAGCAATGCAATAGCTTAGCGTAAATAACGCACCTGAGGATGGCACATTGATGCCGAAACATGTGGTGAAGTGACATGTGAGATTGTGTGCACTACAAGACAACCAATACATACATATCATGGACCAGAATCAGTGCAACAGGACGCTAAAAAACAACATTAAAATCTGTAGTTAGATGGCGATAATTCGGTTTGTGGAATTCGGTATGGAGGAATAACATACACATGCCTTAAAGATTCTGTATTAAACATTGTTTCTTCTAAGTCAAGAATTAAAAACATGGCGACAATGCGAATATTTCGTTGTTATGTGCTACACACCCGCTCGTGGTAATTCTGTGTATTTCGGTTCGGATCAAAATTTACAGTTTTCTTACATGTATACCCATTTGTGTGCCGTTTCTTGGCAGCTGCTTGATATATAAAGCGATTACTGTGCGTGTCCACTATGTTATATCATACAAAAGTACAAAAGTTGTGTGATGTCACAGCTTTGGCCTTTTGTGTTTTAGCGCGAATATGTAACATCGCGTACTGATGAAAATTTCATGATAAATAAAAGAATGGAAGTTTTCGATGCTCTGAAATATTAAAATATTATATTCATTGTATGTTTATAATTCACTTAAGTTTGAATTTCTTGGAGCCAGCACAGCTAAGTCAGTTTAGTGACCAGAAGACGGGCTGGAAGGCAGAAGAATCGGAATTTGGTTTTTGGCTGGGGTTAAAAAAAAGTAAGTAAAGCTATCCCTGTAGCGGGCCGTGAAGGCCCATAGGGTTGTGAGACGTTGAGGGTCCCACATTATCTAGACAATCGGCTCAAAGATGGCGGTAAGGTTGTCAGCCTTACGCGCCGGCCGCGCTTTACTCCCCAGAAAAAGTATTTAATTAATTCCTTGTACTAATTTCTGTTAGAGGCTGAGACGAACCCAGGGCCATAGTGCGGCTGGAAGGATTAGGTCAATTGAAGAATCCAATGACCTCATCGGGACTTGAACCCGTGACCTTCCGACTTGTAGCATAGTGCCTCAACCAACCACGCTACCGCGGGGTAACATGTTTTATTCCCTGTACACTGTATAGAACGGCTAGCGGAATATATAGTAGTAAACGAGGTATTTGGGGGAGGCTCTTTTTCCGGGGTAAAGTGGACGGAGCTGACAGCTCACCCCTAGTGCAGAAGTTAAGAATTCACAGAACTGCCCTTCCACTACACCATAATCTTTTACGGCTTCATGCTTAATTAAGCACAGAGAAAACTTTATTTTTTACTTTCTAATTTAGGTTAGTGCGGGGCCTAACTCAAGAACCCAAAACTTTACAAAGTTTCTTGACAGTTTTTCTGTTCTCTACATTTCCTTAACTCAAGGATTTGGAAACATATTCTCACACAACCCACCCACAGAAAGAGCATCTGCCTGGGATGAGTGTTGTTGCCAAACTTTTCGAGACTCATGAAAGCGTCTTATGCTTGTAGACAAGAAATTCACTGTTAGGTCGTCTGGGGTGTGAAGCCGTACAGCCTGGTAAACCGATACCACTGCCTCCGTATTCAGGGCAGAAGAAATATTTTTACTTGTTTTACCATGAAACAGAAAGCAGCAGGTTCCTTCAAAACGTTCATACATATCTACCAGACTACACGGTATCATAACCCATAAGATCATAATCACGGCTTTGGGAACCTCCGATCTCATAAACCGATGTTTATTTCAGGTACAACCATAAGTTTAGTTCCAGGAATACAGTAAGCTCTCGCTAATCCGGAGTAATGGGGGGAAGAGGTCATCCGCATTAATGAAACAAAAGGCAGCTCTAAAAGACAAAAAAAATTAGAACACAAATAAATGGAAAAATTAGTAATATAAGCAGTGCTGATGGAAATAAATAAAAAAATATCACTGTAGAGCCTTTTATTTAAAAACTTCAGAAAGACAATCCATTTATTCATCGATAGAAGACAGAAATTGCACTTTCTTTTAATGTAATAATGTAGGTTTGAAGAAACTGTAAAGTTTTTGTCTGAGCATACAAGTGACTTACCTGCCTTCCTAAATGTCATGTGTCTTCAAAACTTCGAGTATGTACTCAGCTGTGAAGAGTATTTTTCATTTTTCATATTTCGAACCGCATTACCGACATCCGGATTAACTGCAACCGGATGAACGAGGATTTACTGTTAATTTCGTTAAATACAGCATACTATATTTATTATTTGCGACCCACAGGTTTAAGACCACTACTCTATATTAAGTAGTGTCTAAAAACACCGCTTAGCTAGCCTGTAGCAGAAGTGTGATGAGGGTAGAACCACTGAGTTCCGGTGAGATTACCTGTTCCGTTGTACGATATTTTCATTTATTATATTTTTCTCTTCTTCATCTCTTCTTCTTACCTTTTACTCCTCTTTCTCGTTTCTTCAGCTTTTCCTTCCTTCCGTTCAGAGTTCTGAACCGGGTCCAGGCTTTGTGCCCACGCTGATGCTGAACTGATCTGGCCGCTACTATCGCAGCCTTCGTGTTTCAGGGCCTTATGTGAGAGAGCTTTGCTCTTCCTAGCCGTGCTGAGCTGCTTACACTCCAGGATGTCAGGGCAGGTCACCTTCTCCAAGGACTGGACGATTGGCAAGAGGTCGCCGCCCGATCCGCAGTGCAACCCTGCTGTCAAGTCTGCAGACGAAATCTGCAAGCTTTTTGTTGTGAGTTGCATTCAGGGATTGTTTGATTTCCTACACAGTGTGTGTTCTACAGCAGACATCCTTTGGGTGATCAAATCAAGGGCGATGGAATTGTCAAGGTGTGTAGCACGCATGTGGGAAATGAGACATAATCAGAAAACGTGACGTACACCCATTTTGAAGACCCAAGTGTTGCTGGGAGAATAATAAATATTAAAGACACTAGACGATGAAGTATGCTCTAGATTAAACTGGCTCAGGATACAGTCCAGAGGCGTGCTGTTGTGAACACGGTGGTGAAATTTCAGGTTCTCTGAAAGGCGGGAAATTTCTTGACCATCTAAGCTACTGTCAGATTCCCAAGGCGGACTCTGTCCCGTGAAGTTAGTTAATTACTTAGCTATAAGCTCTAGTAGCGTAAACAGATTCGCTTCATCTGCAGGTGTACGGAAGTACACGTATATCTGTTACTTATTCTTATGAGGTCTGAAGACTTCCGGGAAAGAAAGAGACGCTATATCTTGTGGGAGGGCGCAAGAGACATTTTTATCTCCGATTTTGAAGGTTCCCAGGCAGTGCCCGCTTGTCCTTCCGGTGGGTGTATATTTGAGAGAGGATGAAACTCAGGAAGTGAAAAGGTATGAAACCAAAATGAAGTTGAGCCGGAATTTTACTGCGCATGTTCGGAATTAATTTTTTATGGCGTTAGAAGGGCTACATTGGAGTGAAATTTAGATGTTACCAATGGGAGGGCTGCATATGAGGCATGCAGTGCAACGTTAAATTAGGGTACCAACTCAGCATTTGCTCTAGCACCGAGGAAAATCACGGGAACTCTTGATCGAGCAGCTCGGACGCAGGTCCTTCCGGATGCAAACTGACTTCTAGGCAGCTGTTGTTTAATCTGAAATGTTTACATATTTGTTTTACAAAGCTGTTTTTCCAGAAATGGGCTGGATATATGCCAACATCAGACAGGTTTCAGGCAAGATGTTCAAGAGCCATAATTCGAAAGGCCATTTCTAAAAGAAAATGTTGAAGTAGGCCGCAACAGAATAGATCGAGTTAGAGGCAATCATCGGATGCATTTTCGAATATCGGTTTGTTTTCCTCAGTCTCTACCGGAGAATGCCTAAATAATAGTGTCAGATAGAACGTAACCACAAAATTTGATGGTCTCACCTTCCAACCTTTTAAATATTTTTGTGTTATTTGTGTTATATCAGTTGCTCAGGCTATGTAGCGTCGGATGCGTGCATGAATAATAAATGATAAATTTGAAATAATATAGGAAGAAGCTGTAATGGCCTAGCCGAGGTATTGTCCCAGAGGGACTGAGAAAACCCATGAGAAACCTAGTCACGATAGCCGGTGTCCCGGCCGAGATGCGAAACGAAAGCCTCTCCTATTGGAATCCTGGGTGTTACGTCAACACGCTCGATAATAATAATAATAATAATAATAATAATAATAATAATAATAATAATAATAGCAATAACAATAATAATAACCTATCCACTAGTTTAGGCCTATATACACGTATAAGCTCCGTCTGGGAACTTCGGCCATGTAACTGTGTGTTCTGCATTAATTCGGTTTGATTAATTTTTTAGGATTCTTCTGTGCCCTGCGTTTTCGAGCAGTCAGTAGCTAGAACAATGCCGCAACTTTTACGAAGATTTCAATAGACTGCATGATTAAAAAAAGTAAAGTGATCCCTGTAACTAGCCATGAAGACCCATAGGGTTGTGAGACATCGAGGCGCCCACATTATCTAGAAAATCGGCTAAAAATGGCGGAGAAAACCCGCCCCAGCGTCACTTTGTCCACCACAAATCCCGCGCCATAGCTCAAGCGGTTAGTCGCTGGCTTCCCACCACGGCTGCCCGGGTTCGATCCCGGGTCTGGTCAAGTGGGATTTGTGGTGGACAAAGTGCAGCTGGGGTGGGTTTTCTCCGAGTACTTCGGTTTCCCCTGCCAATCTTCATTCCACCAAATTCTCCATCAGCATATTCACCCGGGGCAGGCTACCATAGGCCAATCAGTGGCCGCCGTGCCTAGTGGACCCAGTTGGACTCCACCCCCCACTAAGCGAATTAAAGAAAAATCAAAAGGACGAGGAAGAAAGCTGTTTTTGCCTAGATTGAGATACCACCTCGGAATGTGTCAGGTTCTTATAAAATTGAAGGAAATTTTTGTGTACACGAACAACTATTATGTTGTCAACAAGAAATGCTGCATGGAGTTAATGACTAACTGTATTCTAAACTTCGTATGATTTATTATTAATTAAATGAGTTATTTATATCAATGAAAAGGCCGAGGAAACGTAAATTATGTAGATATATCACGAAGCAAGCAGTCAGGCTTCGTTGTCAGGATGGCCGAGCGGTCTAAGGCGCCAGACTCAAGGTTACCTTGCCTACTGTGTAGGTTACATGGGAAGTTCTGGTCCTCTTCTGAGGGCGTGGGTTCGAATCCCACTTCTGACAAATTTTTTTTATGGTGTTATGTTTTAAATTATTATTTATGACTATAAATAATATTCATTGAAGAACTGATCATTTATTTTATTATTAATTTATTATTTTTTCTTTCAGAATGAAGTACGTCAAATAGTAGCATGTGAAACGAAGTCACATCTGCGGATGCAGAAGGAATATGATGAAAATCAAGGTGAAATGTATTTTGAAGAGCGAGACGGACGATAAATCCTAGCTAACTATCTACATCAATACAGTTTCTGGAACACTCTCTGTGATGAATTATAAATTATATGTAGTAACTTAATGGCTTCTACGTTTTTTGAGTAATAAATATTATTTTTCTCTAGTAGCATCACTTGTGATGCAATTTCATGTGCATCTGTAAGGTCGAAGATTCGATCGGCAGAACAGGAGTATCTGAAGAAGAATCCGCAGACTGTAAGTAGATTTATCTCTGGCAATTCTACAACAGAATGTACAGGATGGTTCACACGGAGGACGTCATGAATTAATAGCTATGAATCAGGTAGCAGTTTTCTGTTGAAAACTGAACTTGGGGAGTACATAACGACTGCAGATGCTGAGGCTGGTTTCCGTTCGTCTGGAGAAGAAGCCCGACTTCGTCCATGCTGAGTGTGAAAAGATTCCTTCAGTCTCCAGTTTTCCTGACATCTTCTGGATAACACTGTTTTATGGTGCTTCAAATAACGTGAATGGTTTCCGAAAGTCGCATGGCGTTTGAACTGTCCCGTCCCTTACTCAGTACAAGCCTACAAGTGAAACGCGCTGCACAATTGTATTAGTCCGTCGCACAGTACGTGGAATCACAGACTGGAGGAAATGGTGCAAACCAGGCAGGCATGTACCAGGTCAATATGGCTTGGCACACGGTATCAGCCAGTTTGGTTTCCATCGGTAAATGATTGCACGATTTAAAATTATTAATTCTGGGCCTCCCTCACGTGAATCACTCTGTAAAAATTCGGAAATAGTCTTCTGCATTTACAATGCACTTTTACCGGGAAGTAAAATCCTGAAATGTAATTTTCATAATTTGTAATGGTATTCTCTCAGGGGCTCACAGAGCCTCTTATCCAACGAGCATAGTGAGCTGCTTCCTCGATGGTGTCATATAGTCACGTTCCGTTTACATCGCTCCCATTGGTTCGCTCCTCCTGCCTTCCCCATATATCTGACCGTTTTCTTCTAGCCTGAAGGCGGAGGGACGAGTTTCCACCGAAATGTTGCTACTTATCTGCCAAACTACACAGCAACATATTCCAGAATAAAACCTTCGTAGGCACAATAAACGATAGTTTTTTTAATGCTAGTGGCGTGGGACTAAGTCTCTTGTACTGCGGCCACCTCTGGCCTATTGTACCAGCCCCAGATGATAGGTGAGGGTGATTGTGGAGCAATTGGTGGAATGAAGATTGGCAAGGGGAAACCGAAGTACTCGGAGAAAATCTGCCCCAGCGCCACTTTGTCCACCACAAATCCCACTTGACCAGCCCCGGGATCGAACCCGGGCCGCCGCGGTGGGAAGCTAGCGACTAACCGCTTGAGCTATGGCGCGACCCAAACGATGGTTACTAAGATTACGATGTTCTTGGTTCTGACGCCATGCAGTCTGATACATATTTATGACTTCCTGAGAAACTTACTACCTGCATTTTCTCACCGTAACCTTGGTATATATCTACCAAAATACACGGCGTCATCGGGTTTATTAGCCCATCAATAGACCTTTAGACACGTATTCGGAAGGTACTCACTTTGATTTTCGGCCTGGACACGGAGCTATCCTGACTCATATTTTTCGTCGATTACTCCATGACCGCTTCTTCCAGATCCTACTGCTGGATTAAAGTTCGACGCCGTATGTTCTAGACACTGACAGAGTCGTAAAACAAATCTCAAGAAATGTACGGCATAGCGTAAGATCGTGATCTTAACATTTCTTTGCTCCACACTTTAGGATTAGTTTCAGTAGCTTGTGTATAGTTTTTAACTTTGTCTATTATATTCCTTGCAATCGATATTCTAATTGCTACAGGAAGAAGTGACGTATCTTTTCTTATAAAGTTACATCTGCGTCACTAACGCAGTGAGTGAACAGAATGTGAATGAGTGAGAGCGGAAGTGTGGATATTTTGTTTATGTTTTAGTTTTTGTGCTGAAATTGGAGCGGAATTGACTGCTGTTTTGTGAACGTTGCAGATTCAACAACGTATTAAAATTAAGGTATGTAACTATACAAGAATTCCATTATCAGATATTACGATAGAATAAATAACTTGTAACTTAACGGTTACGATTGTAGGTTATGGTGCCACGTGGCAATTCCATTTGATTTTATATTACAGTTCTCACACCCCGAAACCGTTTACGCGAAATACACGTATCTTATCTCGCTTTCCGAACGTAACTAAAATGCTTAGCTTATTATCATTACGACAACAATGAAACAAGAAGACTTCAATTTGTATACATAGTTACCAAATGAGGTTTTTGCGAGTTTGCATGCCTCGTTTGTCTTGATGTTAATTTATTTTGTATATAAATCTAAATAACTTAATGGTGCTGAGCGCTTCTTGAGAAGCAGGCAGTTGCGCAGCTACTCAAGAACTTCCCAGAATTTTATGGAACACGAAGATTCAGTGTGGTGTTTACAGGAGCCCTCAATTGGCCCCTTTCCTGAGCCAGATGAATCCAGTCCATACCACCCCATTCTATCTCTCTAAGATACATATTAATATTATCCACCCACCCACTTCTTGGTCTTCCTAGTGGTATATTTTCTGCTGGATTTCCCATCAATATGCCATATATGCTTCTCCTCATTCGTGCTACACGCCCATCTCATCCCCCTTGACTTACTCATTCTAATTATATTTGGAGAAGAGTACAAGTTATTCAGCTCCTCATTATGCAGTTTTCTCAAACCTCCCGTCACTTCATCTCTCTTCGGTCCAAATATTCTCCTCAGCACACTGTTCTCAAACACCCTCTGGATATACCGTTCGAAATGCGTGTTACTTTAAACCGTTGCATAAATTATATGTAGACTCATCACACACGTCGTGTAGTGATATTCTGTAATTAACAGTAATTTTTGACAAGTTTTAAGTGTCCCTTAATCAGCAATTTGCATAATAAGGCACGTTATGTTTCGGTTTTCCAGCAGGACACTACATGATTTCTTCTACACTTAGATTAGTGATAATACTCGTACAATGTTCATCCATCGATGACATCCTCTCGGTTAGGCAGGTACTGTAGTGATTGTTCTCCAGTAAATGAAATATTTGTGTAACTATGTGTAAAACAACATTAGAATATGCCATTAGGAAGGTCCAGGGAAACCAGGTGGGACTGAAATGAAACGGGACACATCAGCTGTTGGCCTATGCCGATGATGTGAATCTACTTGGTGATAATGTAGATATCATAAAGAAAAACACACGAACTTTAATCGATGCAAGTAAGGAGGTTGGTCTAGAAGTAAACACTGAGAAAACTAAGTATATGTTACTGTCTCGTCACCAAAATGCAGGGCAAAATCATGACATAAAGATAGGAAACAGATGTTTTGAAAATGTGGTACAGTTCAGATAGTTGGGAACGACTAAATCAAAACCCGATTCACGAGGAAAATAAGAGGAGATTGAACTCGGGTAATGCTTGCTACCATTCAGTCCAGAACCTCTTGTCTTCTCGTCTGCTGTCCAAAAACAAAAATTAGAACATACAAAACTACAATTTTGTCTGCGGTTCTGTATGGGTGTGAAACTTGGTCTCTGACATTAAGGGAGGAACATAGACTGAGGGTGTTTGAGAACAGTGTGCTGAGGAGAATATTTGGACCGAAGAGAGATGAAGTGACAGGAGGTTGGAGAAAACTGCATAATGTGGAGCTCCAAGTATAATTAGAATGATGAAATCAAGGAGGATGAGATGGGCGTGTAGCACGAATGGGAAGAAGCATATATGGCATCTTCTTCTTCTTCTATGGCGCAACAGCCCGATGTCGGGCCTTGGCCTCCCTTATCAAGCCCCTCCATTCCTCTCTATCCTGCGCTGCTCTCTTCCAGTTCCTTACGCCCATTAACTTCTTCGCATCTTCTTCAGCCGCATCAATCCATCGAGTTCTTGGTTTCCCAGCGCGTCTCTTGCCGCTCCTTGTACTGTGTAATATTTTCTTTGGGATACGCTCCTTAGCCATTCTCTGTACATGCCCAGCCCATTGCACTCTTTTTAAGCTTTTTCGTCACTGAGTTCTCTGGCTCCTTATATAATTTGTATAACTCTTTATTATATCTTATTCTCCATATCCCATTCTCTTTTATTGGTCCATAAATTCATCTTAGGATTTTCCTCTCAAAAGAATTGATGACTTAGTCCTCTTTCTTGTTTAGCGTCCAACCCTCACATCCATAATAAAGCACCGGTCTTATCATTGTTTTATATATTTCTGTTTTAATCGCTCGGTGTATATCCTTTGATCTAAAAGCTGATAGTAACGAGAAATATGCATTATTCGCTATTTACTCTTCTTCTTATTTCATGATTTTCCTCTCCATCTTTGTGGAATTTCGATCCTAAATATATGAAGTCTTCAACTATTTCTATCCCGTCCTCTTCCATGTTAATTTCTCCAGTTTGCTTTGGATTCCTTCTGGATTGTATCAGCATTTTAGTTTTATTTACATTCACCTCTATATGGTATATTGATAGGAAATCCAGCAGAAAAGAGACCACTAGGAAGGCCAAGAAGTAGGTGGGTGGACAATATTAAAATGTATCTTAGAGAGATAAGATGTGGTGGTTGGACTGGATTCATCTGGCCCAGGAAAGGGGCGAATTGAGGGTTCCTGTAAACACCGCATTGAATCTTTGGGTTCCATAAAATTCTGGGAAGCCCTTGAGTAGCTGCGCAACTGGTAGCTTATCAAGAACAGTTCAGCTCCATGAAGTTTGTTAGTTAATGTGTAAAACAATGTTATGAACAACTTCAAAGCTTTTAGCTGGCTACAGGTTTCCCGTATGATACTCGTAGGTTATTTTAAATGCCATCGGATTAGTATCACGTTCCAGCACTTAGATTATTGTTGGTTCTTTCTTGTTTGTTCTCATCTGTGGTGTTGTACGCACATATTTTAAGTTCACGCGTTTTAAGTGCAAATCCGGCTTTATACTTCACGGGATTTTCTGTCTGTTTCTTGAAATTCACGACTCTGTAATTTCGGCCAGTCTGATAGTTGTACGTTAGACTGAGTTCTTTATTTTGACCAACATCCTGTAACTCTTTTTTTATTACTAGTGGGGTGGGACTAAGTCCCTTGCACTGCGGCCACTTCTGGCCCATTGTACCAGCCCCAGATGATAGATGAGGGTGGTTGTGGAGAAATTGGTGGAATGAAGATTGGCAGGGGAAACCGAAGTACTCGGAGAAAACCTGTCCCAGCGCCATTTTGTCCACCACAAATCCCACTTGACCAGACCCGGGAACAAACCCGGTCCGCCGCGGTGGGAGTTCCCGGACTTACTATCATCCCATTCGACTAACAGTCACCCCTCAGACTTCGGCTCCCGATTTTTCGAAATTACTACTCGAAACTCGAATTTCGATCGTGCCCACGTTATAATGTTCCGGTGACTAGAGAAGCAGATCTTAACGATCTGTGATAACATTTTTAATATTTTAAATGCTTAACGCTTTGTTATTTCCTGCAATTGTGCACAGAATTGTAGATTATTATAGGTTAATATATGGGAACCGGGATAGGTGAGAGGCACAGCGAGGAGCTACAGGCTGGATAACCGGGGTTCGATTCATGGCAAGAACAAGAGACCTTTTTTTTTTGCCTTCTCCACAGCATTCAGACCGGCTCTGGGGCCCACCCAGTCTCCTCACCTATGTTAATCGAAAACATTTTCCCCTGAGTAAAGCGGCCTGGGCATGAAGCAGACCATTCTCCTCCATCTCGTGCTGTTAAGCTTTACTGCCACTTCCCCATACGTGTTTGTTGTATGCTGCGTAATTAATTAAACATAGGGACAACTTTGTCTTTTAGGTGTTAAAATGCTGAAAAAAAAAACGGTGTGAGCCTAGGTTCCAGGCGTGTAACCCTGTACATCCCTTTTCATAATAAACTCGACTTCGACCCGTCTTCAGGAACACATTAAGCTACAAGACTGAAGTACGAGTGTACTAGGAAATGTTGATGCTGTACATTAGTCTATGAAGATATGTTCCGTCATAACAAAATAACAATAAATACCATTGCTTCATGAACTAGCATTGTATTCGTTTTGAAAATTATTAGTGGATAGTAATAATATGGAAAAACACCGTACCATGGCGCTTCTACCACTATAATCACCGCTATCTAGCAGCAAAGTTTGGTATTACTTTGCTGCGTGTCGGTAGTGCTGCTATTTACGGGAGATCTTCAAACGTCTTTTCCATGTAGTTCACAAAACTTTCTAGAAGAGGACACGACCTGTCTGAATCAACGCAGGAGAAGCTAGTTCGTGTCATAGATGTCAGCTCTAGTACGCAATGGAAGTAGAAAAGGCATTAAGGACGAGTTTTGTAAGCGACAGCGTGATGTGTGTACCTTACACCTTGCTGGTCTGCCATCAGTTACAGAATGGGACGAATTTTTTAAATGAACCCCTGCTGGACAGTTAACACCTTTGTGAAATCTGAGGTTACAACGGCGGTAATATTAAGTTTTCGGTCTTCTGGGATGTGATGTAATGTAGTCTGGTAGAAGTTGGAACGTTTTGCCTCCATCTTCAGGGCCGAAGAATAAGCCAAGAGGAATGAAGCAGAGAACAGAGTCACGCTTGCTGTTTGTTGCTTGCTCTGCTTACTCATCGACCCTGAAGATGGAGAGAGTAAGTTCTTCCGAAATCTTGGTAAACCTCTATCATACTATGCAGCGTCGCATCCCAGAAGATTGCTCTATTCATGGTCACTGTTGTGAGGACATCAACGATATTTGTCATCTTGAGCGCAAAGTTTTTTGTTTCTTCATTCATGTACATCAGGGATGTCCAACTTCAAACAGGTTGTGATCGATTTTTTAGTGTCAAAACTGCCAGTGATTACCAACCCCTCCTATCGTCGTACCTCGCTTTAAGCAAAAATATTGGTAAGAATAACATGACACATGATATTGTAAAAGCACATTGAAAGTACAGACTTACCTTGTTCGTTAAGAACAGAAAAATAG